TAACACTACCGTACCGATTATCCTACCGGCTGCGCCAATTATATTGAACACTCGGATGAGTTTAAAATAAAACGTTTATTATTACTTGTGTTTTTAATTATAATTTGAACAAATGTCTTATAATTGCCTGACTTATCTAGTCGAGTTGCTAATAATAAGTGACGCTGCTTTGCAGCGCGCGACAAAAGTAGTCGCGAAGAATGCTGACTCCACAACTTAGAAGATAAGGCGAGATGCGCATAATATAATTATATCTGTATATTCGCCAACAAGGAACTCAATTTGATCCATGATATCATTAAATTTGTCAAGCAATGGCAAAATTGTATCAAGTCGCACTTGAAAGTTGATTCGGTCAATTACTTCTACATTGCAATAATTATTATAGAATGTATTTGCACGAGTTAGCGCGGCTTTAATTTTAGTTTTTTGAGCTGTAAGCGTGATGCAGCTGTAGTCTGGAGTGAACTGGGAGAACAAAGCATATAATTGCAGCTATCCCCTGGCAGGTGTCTTGCCAAATGCAAATGATAACACTTCGTCGCGTTATCGTTATAAATGCCATCAATTGAAACCAAATTGAGTATAAATGAATTCGATTAGCAGCGGTCATAAATTAATATTTTTATCCTGGTTCATATTTTTGAGTTACAAATTATAATTTTTAAACTTATAATGGGCAGACGGTTTTTCCTTGTGCACCTAAAAAGGTCTAAAAGTTAATTTTCTTTAAAGTTTAAGGATGAATCATTTCTCCGAAAAGATGTGTAACTTAATGGCCAGGTAAAACAAATCCTCATAATTTGGTGTTAACTATACCACTTTTTCTTTATTATTTTTTTTATTATTCAGAAAAAATGTTGCAGTATGAATATAAAAAATTGTGAAATTTATGAAAAATAGTTATCTCATATTTTTAGTTTATTTAAAATTGTACGTGAATTGAATTATTCCATCTATCCACAAAGATCTTCATTTCTGTGTCCTGCATTATGCTCCTTCTTTGCAAGGTCAACAAGGTCAGAGACAAACCTTGTTGAGGCTGAAAGGATATACCGACATGTTTTGCCACACTCTGGCATCATCAGGCAGATCAATATTAAAATCAAAAGTGCAAAATTAAACTATTTATATGTTCTGCTGTTTACTCTTGCCTCAAAGTTGTTATTGCCATAGATTTCTTCAATGGTTTTAACCCTTCAGACTATACGTCTCCCGTACCATAGTCATTAATATCGTGATGAGAGAAAATCTCACGCCTATTGCGCAAGCGCCAAGCGCAAAATTTCAAACCTACTAAAATAGTTGTAGGTTACACATCAAGTAAAATTCAAAATAAAAAATTGGGTTTTGAATAATATAAATTAAATTTTAATGTTATTAAAGTAAAAATTAATTACATTTTTTTATTATTTAAATACTGGTAGTATACTTATAAAGACGAATTTTAGAATATTATCTATTTATATATCTATATATATTCCAAATGGCGGGTGGAAACTACGGAGACAGCCGAAATAAAACGAAGCCATCCGAATAGCGGATTTTTTTGTGCCTAACTTTACTTACGCGATGAGAAAAACTCTCACAGACGATAAATAAATAATTTTTTTCCTTAATTTTTTAAGTTAAAAAAAAATTCTTTTTCAGTATTTTGTAAAAAATTAAATTTTAGGAAGGTAAAAAAATTTTCAAGGGGTCATTCCATTTGAAATTAGAAAAAAAAAAGTTTTAAGAGAGGTGTGAGAGATTCTTTCTACACGATAGTTCTGAAGGGTTAATTATATCGAAAGATATCAGATTTTGTTTAAGAGTTACTCGATTGAAAGCTTTTTTTAAAATCTACGAAGTACATGCATGCAGGTTTATTAAACTCTAGCGACTTCCCCTATACTTGTCGTATTCGGTATTGGGGCACCGGTATATGATCTTCCTTGCCTAAACCATTGCTCTTCTGCTGCTAGTATTGTTCGTTGTAACATTTTTGCCTATTTACGTAGTTCGTTGTGGATTCCATCTATTCCTGCTGATTTACGATTCTTTAACATTCCACTGATGACCTCCAGCTTGCCAAAATATTATGTCTATTCTCTATGGATGTTACATTTTGGTTCATTTTAAGTCAAGATAAGATCGAAGAAGATAGCGACAGTGATGAGGCAAAGACATTGAAGATCGAGATCAACAGAAGAGATACTACATGCTCAATTTGGATGACATAAGAATTATTTTTTCACGGATGAAGTGAACTTCAATGTGTTTATTTCTTTTATGGAATTTAGGATTCCGCGCCAACTTCACCGCACTTGCTTTTGTTAAATAAAAGGCTCAACCACACTGCCTCTTTAGTGCGTTTGGGCGACGCCCGCAGATGGCCTGATGATGCCACAGTGTGGCGAAACAGGTCGCAGAGTGGTAAAAGTTTTAGTGAAACCCTTAAGGTTTATCATTTCTATCAACGATTATAATGGAGTTTCATCATAAGTGCCGCAACAATTCTGTATATTTTACACTAGAAATAGAGCATAGAAAGCATGAACATGTAAGAACGAGTAGTAGCAATAGCCCTACTATTAGTCGACGTGTTATCAATATAATTAAAAAAGTATTGGTGTTAGGGAGTAGGACGTTCGAATCTCGTTCTGCCGCTGTTTGTGTAAAATCTTATGGCATTTGTGGTGCATATCAGAAAAGTATAAAAGAGGTACTAGATATGCTTTGGTCGGAGAACTTGGGGAACTCTCTACACACAAAATGTCAGTACGAAAGATGCTATACACGAAATCAAACTGCTGAGCAAACTTACCCAGAGTAGTACAATTTCAGAGGTGGTAGAGAAGAAGAAGAAGGAGAGGTAGTAAATGAAAGAAAAAAAACACAATTTTTTTTCGGAAACATTTAATAAATTCTAACAATAAATAAATAATTAAACCTTAAAATTACTGACACAGTACAAATGAAAAAATGGTTACAATTACATTATAATTTAGATACAGTACCTTCTTATTAAGATTACCTGTATGTATATGATTTATCTTAACCTAATTAATGATATTAATATGTTGTTGTTACTTGTGCCCTAGATAGGTAGTAAATGAAAAAACACAGTTTCGATCGAACCTTCGAACAGAGAACAACTACAGCTACATGTCGCAACGAGATATTTCCCAAGCCTCCGCCACTGCCTACCCGATGACGACCTCCGCAACCGAAATGGACTTCTTTAATTAAGCAACTCCGAAAGGAGAATGTTTTTTTAAAAAACAAAATTGCTCAATTAGAACACAAGATAACGGACGACAAAATATACGACAAGTATTTACACGAGGATAAAAATAATTGATATTCTCTTTCCACCACTAACAGGTTCGCCCAGCTGCCGATGGACGACGATTTCGACGACAACGACGAGCCATTCGAAGAAGTTAAAAGCAAAAGAAGGAAGCGAACAATCACCAGCCAAGACAAACGGACCTACCCAACACCGACGACCCAGAACATCGGAATTGACGAAACCGCAGCCACCCGCAACCACAACAACATGAACATGCCACCGATAATTGTGAAATCAAAGATTGTTGATTATAAACAATTCCACAAAAGAATCACCGCCACCACATCATCTGTGCCCATCATTTATTACGGCTTAACTGCTTGAATTATTCGAGGGATTAAACAACCTCGAATATTTTACTCACCGTAAAAAAGCAGAAAGCACCAAATCAATTGTCATTAAAACAGTACCATTCCTAGAAGAGGAAGATCTGGGAAAATTCTATAAACAACAACACCCAGGAGTTCTGTACGTTAAAAAACTACAAAGTAGAAAAGGCACAGAAAGCAGATCATATTTATTAAAATTGAATGCCGAAACCAACATTAACGACCTTATAAAAATAAACAATATCGATGGTGCGAAGATACGGTAAGAAGCGTACAGCCGTCCAACAAAGGTCACCATGTGCCGCAGATGCCAGGAGTTCGGACACGGAACCGAAAACTGCCGCAGCACTCCAAGGTGCGAAAACACAAACCTCACCACACCCAGGACTGCGACAAAAATCCGGATGCCCCACCACAGTGCACCAACTGCAGCGGACTCCATCCAGCGAGCCACACCGGATGCCCAGTATATGTCAGGTATGTGAACGATAAAAACATTAAAGTAGCTGACAAACCTCACTTTAACACTAACGAACAAAATTTCCCGTCACTTATACCAAAACCGACAGCAACCTCTACAAAACCAACAATTAACCAACCCCAGCCACCCAACAACAACAAAAACCCTTATCAATCGTACATTCACATTTTCACAAAATTTGAAAAAAATTAAATCCGAACTAGATAACGCTAAGATCAGAAGGACCGACTTGCTATGGCTTTATATCCAACTGTCAGCTCCATCTAACGGTGGAGATTAAAGATAGCTCAGGCAAGCAAGTAATATTGAAAAATAATAGTTTTACGAGAGGGTGAGGATTAAGTTAAATAAAGTAGACACTTACTGTACGCTATAGTATATAGTACGCTATAGTCGATGCAGTATTTGTCAAACCAGTAGGTGTGCTGACGAGTCTTCTAATGGTCGAAATAGCTATTCACATCAGGTTTGACAAATACTTGAATTGACTTGCAATGGTTTTAATAAAATATTGTTTTCATAACGATACTGTGAAGGTATAGCGTACAATAAGTGTTTACTTTACTTAGCTTAATACCCTCTCGTAAAACTATTGTGTTTCAATATCAGGTACCTATATCGCACTTTCTAGCTACACTTCGAAATTTTGCTCAAAAATATTCTTCCTTTGTCGAAGACAATTTTGAAGTGAATTTGTAAAATACGTTTTCACTTTGCATAGCAGCATGCTCACAAGTATTCTACCCTGTGTGGAAGAAAATTTGAACCGAAATCGTGAAATACGGAGTACGTTTGCAACAACAAACTACGACGCACATTTCTGGCTCACTGTGCAATAAATTGCTCAAAAGTAAAAATTGTGTGCCTGGAATAATGAAATAAGACCTCGATTCTATTTTGTTGGTTTTCAGAACCCCGAGGTAATGATTAATAGGAACGGATGGGGGCATTCGTATTGCGACGTTAGAGGTGAAATTCTTGGATCGTCGCAAGACGGACAGAAGCGAAAGCATTTGCCAAAAACGTTTTCATTGATCAAGAACGAAAGTTAGAGGTTCGAAGGCGATCAGATACCGCCCTAGTTCTAACCATAAACGTTGCCAGCTAGCGATCCGCCGACGTTCTTCCGATGGCTCGGCGGGCATCTTCCGGGAAACCAAACCTTTTGGGTTCCACGAGAAGTTTGCTTGCAAAGCTGAAACTTAAGGGAATTGACGCAAGGGCACCACCAGGATCAGACACTGCGGCTTAATTTGACTCGACACGGGACACCTCGCAGACGGGTCGCAGACGACCCAAGAGGATTGGCGTATAAATTATTCGCGCCGACCCGAAAGCTGGCATACAGTTCTTCAAACGAGTGGCAGATGGACCACAGATCGAAAGTCAACGGCTGAGGCGCTCATCAAGAAGTACTTCTTCGCCGACGACGCGACCACTGACACCCAGCACCACAATCTGATTAGAAGCAAATATGATTTCGGTGCGCCAACCGATCTCCCCATCACCTTGGACGAACTGAAGAACGCCATTCGCGAGCGACCGAAGCGTAAAGCTCCGGGAATCGACGGTTTTCCGTCTGCTGCGTTGGAACATCTTGTGGCAGAAGTCGGCAAAAGGTTTTCGACAAAATCCTTGCGAAGCGGCTCACACACTGGTTGGAGAAAACGTTCAAATTCTCTGAAAATTAATTCGGTTTTCGCAAGGGAAAGAGCACAATCGGTGTACTTAAACAGGCCGTGAGCAACATCTGTAAGACAAAGGGACAGAATCAGCACTCGCTACTCGTTGCACTCCACGTGCAAAACGCTTTTATTTCTGCGTGGTCTCCAAAAGTATACAACTTGCTGGAGAAATGTGATTGCTCCGGCATTGCTTGGGCACGAGCGATCACCAGCTTTTTGTAACACCGTAGTGTTTCTTCGCAAGGGGTTACCGTAGGTTCTGCGCGGGGTTGCCTGCAAGGTTCTTGTTTGGGTCCAGTTCTCTGGTTTTTAATTATGGAGGATTGGTTTCAGGAAATACGAAGCGTTCAGCTGAAGGTGTTCAGGTATCAAGGTGTTTGCGGACGACGAGCTCCTGGTAATTACAGAGCCGTCAACAAAACGGATTGAAGCTGCATAGCTGTCAAATTGGGCGGCTTGTTGTCGATGGGCACATCAACACAAGCTGGACTACGCGCCGCACAAAACAACTGCGATGTAAGGGAGCCTCAGATCCGTTTCGGCAACGTCGTCGTTTTGCCTAAGGAGTTGCTGCAGTATTTGGCCGTCATCATCGACCGAAAGTTAAACTTCGTAGAGCACGTTAAATACGTCCGAGGGAAGATCGCAAGCGCAGGTCACAAGATCCGGGCCATCATCGGCAGAACATGGGGAACCCTAAATCTATCTTCGAGCCGCAAAACCAGCGCTGTTGTATACAGCGGAGATGTGGGGTAAGAAGGATTTGCTATGGAATGCTATGTACGCATTTGGCCGCTGCTCAACGGCCATTTCTACTTGGAATCACGCGCGCATGTCGGACCATGACGAACGCCTCTATCCAAATACTGGCCGAGTGTTTGCCGCTTCACCTTGAAGCGCCGCAAATACACGAACAGTCAGTACAGATGGATGCACCTGACATCGAAGCCAAAGTAAAAACGGCTGAGAAGCGGCATCCGGCTGCGCCAATACCGCGCTCGAAAGAGCTTGAAGCCCGCCCAGAGAGATATTCATCAGACGCCGTAAGAATAGCTGTACAGCAGCCAAATGGTGAGTTAATTTGTTTCCGCTTGCAAGACGGGTACCCGGTACACGGGGCCGAATTGCAAGCAATTAAATGGGCAATTAATGCTGCCGCAAATTTATTTGTTACAGGTCGAAAAATCAACATCATGTCTGACTCGAGAGTGGCACATGACATTCGCGTAAATGGCAGATGCGGTGTTGCGCATCAAAGGAGGCGTCTGCGAGGTGGTCTGCACGGGAAGTGGTAGCAGCCATCGACGACTACCCCACTCTTTAAGCGCCAACGACGAAAGAAATGGTGAAGACAAGGACACGGAAGGAAGCCTACAATGCATGGCAGACGGAATGAACAGCGCACACTAAAGGACGACACACTGCGAGCATTTGCTCTAATGTGGTTGAACGATGGAGGCCGTGGTCACCAAAAGCTGTGGCGCTCGCTACCGGTCATGGGCCGTGTGGCTATTACTTTAAACGGTGTGTGCTACGGAACGTGACTGGTGCATGTGTGGAAACAGCCAAGCACATTCTAGTGCACTGCCAACTCCCAGACCGTTCCACTGCGAGGGAATCCTACCAAAGAAAACTGCAAGGAGCAAGCAACAATTCCCACCAAGGATTAACGACGAGGCCGATGACGCTGCAATTAGCATGTTTAAGCATTTGCAGAAGAGGTCGTTGCCGACAGCGAGGTCCCGGACAAAGAACATTAGTTATTTAAGTCTTAATAGTGTACAAATTTAAGTCATTTTTATAACTTATCGTGTATAATAAAATGTATAATTTTGATTTGTTATAGACTAAGAGAAGTTTGTAATAGCGCATGTTTTTGTGTTTTGTGTGTTTGTTAATGTCTATCTTAGGCTAAGAGTAGTTTATATTAGTGCATGTTTATGTATTCCTGTGTGTTTATCTATGTGTTTATATTTGTTAACTTATTGTTTTATAACTTAACTCCGCTAGGGTTTCCTTGTCTGCTCCCTTGGACGTGGTTTTAGCAGATAGTGCAGTGCTTAAAACCTCTCGGTGGGCAGGCGGTTGTACGGGCCACAGATGAACTGAAATGTCCCTACCTAGTCTTGGGAGAGTAGTACGCTCCTACCAAGCGCGTACTGGCAATGTCTAATTAGATAATCTAATTAGAAGCGAGTGCAAGTGAGGCTTATGCCGGAAGCGTTGCCCGGTTCGTGAAATGCTGGGTGAGGATACGTGTCACAACTGCAACAAGAGCAGACACATTGTCCTAATTGTGGATGGCTTGACAAGGGGGCACGCCTGTGGCGCGTTTTCTGCGGCTGGGAATCTTCCAAGTTCGCAATTATGTTAGCATCAGGAGATGCACAAAGTGCCAGGGGTACGGGCATCCAACCAAATGGTGCTGTGCCCAAAAAGAGGTTTATGGACACTGCGCACAAACACACAAGTCCAGCGAATGCCCAAACCGCGAAGCACTAGCAAAATGTGGAGCGTGCGAGGGAGCAGGCCGAACACACCCTCACAATGTGAAAAACACGATAGCCTGCCCAAGCTATCAGCTTGCAAGAAAGCAATACATAAGTAAACTAGGCTACGTAGGTGATTGCGGGGTGGGAACTGCCTTACAATGTTGAACGTCTTTCAGCTTAATTGTGGAGGAGCTACAGTTGTGCTGGATGAGATACCGGAAAGGATGGAGACGCATGGGTTTGACTTGCGTCTGCTCCAAGAACCGTATGTGAATGCCCATGGTATGCTCTTCTCGATGCAAACAATGAAAGTTTTAGGAAAAGGGCAAAGCCAAAGCTGCGATTGTTGTTGCAAACCATGCGATCAATGTACCTACTACACTTGTATTGAATTGTTGAGGCACTTACATGAAAAGAATGAAAATTAATGATTGTATCTGTATGGGTAGGTTTGTAATTCATAGGTTATTACACACTTCTCTCTCAAAAGAGAATTTTGATTTAGAACTCGCGCACATCTACACCATCACTCGCAATATCAATTTTCCAAAATTATATATATTGCAAAAATACTCTAATCTAAACAAACATCATTAGTTACCTCTCTTATTTTTCCCAGAATCTCGAACAACCAAAAATTTATTCTTCTCACACTTATGTTGGAAAATCTTCCGAAACCATTACCAATCAGATTTTTGCTAAACTTCAACAGTCCGCGGATATCGTGGTGTGAGGTCCAACTTAGGCGCTGGTCCAAATTATGCTACCTTCCCCTATATCCTTTCGTTTTACGATAATTCGGACGTGGCGCGTAAAAACGATGTCTTCTTCTTATGCTTGCAATATTAGACAACGTTATCTGTTCTTCTTTTCCTTGGCCTGCCGAGTGATCATCTCCCTCTTGGCGATTTATCAACCTTTACTAACCTATACTTGATTCTATCCCTGATGGTCTTTCTTTCCAGCTATCGTAGCGTTTTCATCTCTGCTAAAAAGAGAAGTCTGGCGGTGACGGTAGTTTCAAGGCGAGTTTCAACATTGTAAGTTATAATCAGTCTAATTACTGTTTTGTATATCGCTATTTTAGCTTTTTTCCTTATGTACTTATATTTCCATATTGTATTTTTAAAACATCCTGCGATTCTGGTGCCCTTTTCAGTTTGCGTTGCTACCTACTTCTTTATTCTTGCATAGAGATGTTAATGCCAAGGTATCTGAACTCGTACATTTGTTCAATAATTTTCGGCTCTACTCCCAATACAACTAATTGGTGTGGTTGTTTGAATCAGCATTCAGTTTTTTTTTGGCAGTTACTTCCATATTATATTTTTCCCTCGGTGTTGAATTGGCACAGCAGTCTTTGGAGGTTTTCTTCTGTGTCCGAAATAAAACGGCATCATCGGCATAGCACGTGATGTTTAGGTACTTGCTTATCTCCTATCCTATAACCCTGGCATCTCTTTGTTTCGTTTATTAGGTTAAATAGAAGTGGATTCAAAGAATCTTCTCGCCTATGCTTTTTAGGTCAGTTTCTTGGACTTTTTACTCCGATTTTTACGTGAATATATTATATTAATATATCTGTTTTCTATTGTTTCAATGATGTCATGCGGGATTTTTCTATTGTGTAGTATTGCGATGATGTCCTGAAGCTGTATACGATCGAAGGCTTTTCTTCAAAACTTCAGGACGAATGCTAGCCAGTTACATTCAATTGCCTTATCTTTAATCTACCTCATTATGAACACGACGTCGTTACATGACCATCTCAATCTAAACCATTGTTTTTCGTCCGCAAGCGTGATTCTTTGTATTATATAATCTCTATAAAATTTTGTTGTTGCTTTTAGTGTCGTGTTTCGTAATAGGTACAATTTTCATATAATTTAATGGTGTTTGTCTAGATCTACTTTCTTGAAATAGCATAAGTAAGATCTTTTTGACGGCCATTGAGTATTATGTTAATTAGTTCATCGCAAAATGTGTTGTTACCCGCTTTACTCAACAACGCCTAGACCAATTTGGCCAATTCTTGTTTTTTTTTCAATATTTGTTAAAGTCTAGGGGTTTTTACGGCGAGAAAAATTCGAATAATTGCCGGGAATACGGGGAAAAGCTGAGTTTTCTTTTGTCAACTGATAATCAAAACAAAGTTTGCAGCTTTCTTTGATGCATTATTGTTTGATTGTTTTATTTCGTGTTTTGGACAAAGTGGTTAATTATTTATGATCACTAAGTATTGCATGTGACATCATTCGGGGTGTTTTAGTGGGTTCCACTAATATAATTTGCTCTTGAAAGGGTGGCCAAAGTTCGTGGAAGCGCCCTATCACCGAGATGAGGGTTCTGTTCAAGAGAATTTTTTGCACCGACTATAAAATAGGGAGGAACAAAATCTGCCACACTCCAAATCTTTTTGACAGAACGAAGTCTGCTGGGTACGTTAGTAATTAATAGTTAATATGAAAGTTACACTGAAATAGCAATATGATTATTGTAAACGTTACTTACTACACTTGATACATACCTATATCATAGGTATATACTAAAATACTGACAAGGAAAGTCGCACCCAAAAGCTTGATATTAATAAAGAAATAAGTTAATGATGTTCACGCTTTAAAAAAATTAAAAGGGTAAAATAAAGAAAACACCAAAAACCTTCCGGTACCGGGAATCGAACCCGAGCCTGCTGGGTGAAAGCCAGCTATCCTAGCCACTAGACCATACCGGACGGGTTACCTTTTCTCAGGTAATAATTTGAGCGTCTAAGATCTTAAAAATAGACTTAATACATACTTAAATAGATCAATTTACGCGAGCTTCAAAGCGGATTGTCGTCAATGTAAGTAATTTTATTCTTCGAGCCAATTCTGATTGTTACTTTGAAATTTCTAAACCAACAAAAATTACTAGCTATAACGCTTTGTAACTTTTTGATATGAAAATATAACTCGATGGTTGTAAAATAAGAAAAACGAAACGGAATTAAAACTAACTAAAATACGGTAACACAGATTATCCCAAGTGGCGTCTCCTCCGCGTGCTTCTCTAGCAATAACCAAACCACACAATGCGAACATGTAAAAAATTCACTCGCATTTAATATCTTTATGAGATGGAAATTGTCTGTCGCATTGATTATTATTTTGTTATCACCTTTGTGGATGTCAGGCTTCACTGATACTGGTATACCTATTAGGTATCAAGTAGGTATTACGTCGTTAAACGTTCTTCTTTTTTCCCGCGAATCAGCTTTCGTGGACCACGCAAACATCATTGTCGTTATCTTTCAGTTCAGTACTTTTTTATCCTTGCTGACTGATTTCTTGTTTGTTCTTCCGTCTATCTGAACTTTTCCAGGGCTCGACCAATTCCCACTGGGAGTTTAAATTCATGTATCTTTCTTTCGTCCTGTCTCGACAGTCTTCATCCGTCAGCTTAAAGGTTTTTAAGCTTTTCTTTATGTACCTACTTCATGAAATTTGTTTATGCAGTCTTCAGTCTTATGCCGAACAGTCTTCAGTCAAAAATTAAATCTTTAAATTCGTTCAAATCCTGTCTCTATTGGTATCGCTATGTTGATGACATAGGTATTAGTTTGTTTCAAAGACACTAATCGCCAACTTCAATCTTTTCTGTCTGAAATTAATTCTATGCATAAACGCATCAAATTCGCACTCGAAATTGAAATCAACAAATCAATTAACTTCCTCGACCTTACTATTACAAATGTCAATAATCAACCCAAGTTCAAAATTTATCACAAACCTACACATACAGATACAACCATTAATTTTCATTCTTTTCATCCAATAGGCCATAAATTAGCAGCATTTAGGTCAATGATTCATAGGTTATTACACACTCCTCTCTCAAAAGAAAATGTTGATTTAGAACTCGCGCACATCTACCGTAGCTCACAATAACAATTTTCCAAAATTATATATAGATTAATTACTCAAATCTAAACAATCATCGTAGTAGTATAAAAAATGAGAGTTCAAAAAACTCCTCAGGCCCGCCCCAAAAGTGGGTGTGAAAATGGATCTCTGTGATTGGTTGAACGTGTGTGGTGAGGATAAAAGGAGTGTTGTGATTGGTCGGTAGTGTTCCCCCACTCCTTCCTCCTCAAGTAAGTGATTGGTTCCTCCTCAGGCCACCGCCTACTGGTGCTTGTTTGTGATTGGTTGATCTTGAGGCCCCCACCTTGTGGTAGTTTGTATGGGTGTGGTTTGTGACCGCAAAATGGGTATTGTGCTAAAAACAAAATGGCGCCTGGAAATGTTGAAAGAAAGTGGCGGCTTAATACCTCCTCCTTATGTTGTGATTGGTTTATTGGTT